CTGTGTCTGAAGCTGTTTGTTCTGTGTCTGAAGCTGTTTGTTCTGTGTTTAGCTGTTTGTTATGTGTTTAGCTGTTTGTTATGTGTTTAGCTGTTTGTTGTATGTTTAGCTGTTTGTTATAAGTGTAGCTGTTTGTTGTGTGTTCAGCTGTTTGTTGTGTGTTTAGCTGTTTGTTGTATGTTTAGCTGTTTGTTATGTGTTTAGCTGTTTGTTGCATGTGTAGCTGTTTGTTTTGTGTTTAGCTGTTTGTTTTGTGTTTAGCTGTTTGTTGTGTGTTTAGCTGTTTGTTGTGTGTTTAGCTGTTTGTTATGTGTTTAGCTGTTTGTTGTGTGTGCAGGAGTGAGCTTAAGGTGAATTAAACTTCTCCCACATCTCTCATACACAAGGTCCTGAGGAAACTTTTACCAAGGTATTTCTCATTACTTGTTAATATCTTGACTGTGCGAAGTGAAAAGTGACACAATAAGTGAACGTTCAGACGAGTTCAAGTTGATTCATAAAGATTATGCAATCATTTATTTACACAAATTGAACAGATCATAAGTTACACTTGATTGTTGTTATTCCTATAACAAGCGTCAAAGTTAAATGAGATAAAATCCACGTCCGAATTTCAATTCATATCAACTCAGATTACTTATGTAGAACAGTAAAACGTCAGTTCTGATAACAACCAAACAATTTTACTGGCACTTTTAGCTTAAGTTTTGGCAAATAAAGAACAATGAAAGGAGGAAAGTAAGATTAGTTTGTTACTACGACTTTTACTTTTATCAAAGTGTGGGTCAACTGGAACTGCACGTCTTTTCTAAGCTCAGGTTCCACATGACACGTCACTCCGAACACATCAGCTTTACCTGGTGATGGCTTCTTAAGGCACCCTCGGGGTAGGAGCTGGCTCGCCTCCGATCAGTCAGGGAACTGATGTCGGTTCGCTTACCGGTCATTGGCGAACAGGTGTTTTTACAGGTAACTTTCATCTGTTTCAGTCCAAGCCAGAAAAATTCAAGCTGTATCCGTTTCCTCCTTCCAAAATAAAATCTCCCCTCGGGAGTTAAAAACACACTCAGAGGCTTGAAGCCTCGGGTTGAGACCACCGACAGGCGTGCCGGGTCCCTGGCTGTGAAGTCTTCCCTAATTAGCTCATGGGCTAAGACTTAAAGCCAAACTGAGGTTTCTCCAGAGAGAATCCCAGCTGTCTTCCTAGGTTGGAATCAGGAAGAAGAGTGTGTCGCTCAAAGCCGTCAGGTTTAATAAAAGAAACGGACAAACTTTGGTTCCGCCCTCAGGCTTAGAGATGAGTCAGAGAACGAAAGATAAAGATTTTCCAGCCGGCGCCAGCCCAAGGTTAAAATTCTGTGGTTGTTCAACAACATGATATGATGACCTCTTTTCAGCTTTCTTCTGATAGACTCCAAGAGAAATCACTGCAAAACATTTATGATGATTAATTAACATTTCTGTTTTATATTTAGTTCTGAACCTTCTGTTAGTTCAGATAAATGAAAGATTTTCTCAGGAAAAATCCACAATTATATTACTGTGTTCACAGTAAAATAAAAACAGTGATTTACATAAAANAACTAAAACCTTTCCCAGACAATTTTTAAGGATACATATTATGTCATTTCATATTTTTTCAATTGTATTGCTTTGTTTGTTTTTTAATGAAATGAATAAATGAATTTAAAAAAACCATTAAGAAACCCCCCTGGGACTGAAGAGGTTAAAACGACTCAATCGGARCCTTCAGGTGAACTCAGAACCCAGGTGGTCTGACCTCAGGTGGGGGGAGACCCCCGGCTCCTTCGGGACAGTCCGGCAGCATCCTCTTCCTGCCGTTGGTGGTGCAGAAACAGTRCGGGGACGGGTTCTCCATGGTCCAGTTTCTGGAGCTGAACAGCTGCTGGACGCTTTCTGGGACATCGGGTGTGTGCCAGTCCTCGTCTCCCATCGTACAGGGGGCCTCTCTGATGGGGGGAGGGGGGCGGGGTCAAAAAGAATAAATGAAAACAAAGATGAAGTGTTGCTGAGYAGGGTTTCTGAGGGGAAGAGCTCTTACGGAATAGAATGTCCGTCCATGCAGCGAGTCCCGAAGCCAGGAGGGTCCATCAGAGCGTTCAGTAACTTCTGCATGTTGGCGTCTCCAGGTGCGTCATCGCTGAGGGGACAGGCAGAGTCAGAACGCAGAGAACAGCCCGGATCCGTGCACCTGTGGGGCCGACGCCTACCTGATAAAGGTGACCTGGTCCTCGTACATCCACGGCTGCAGCTCCAGGCTGGGATACTTTCCAAACGGCGGCACGATGAGGCTGAAGACGAGAGCGATGCAGACGAACACGGCCGGGAGAACGATCTGAAAATCAAAAACAACAGCTCTGAGGTCCAGGTAACGCTCGCAGGAAAGATGCAACAAAAATAAAAAAAGAAACCGGAGCCCACCTGAGCGAAGAAGCCTTTCCTGGAGCGTCGAGCGTACAGGAAGCGTTTCCACATCAGCGCCACAAACTGCTGCCTCTTTAGGCTCCACCCATTCACCTGGTAGGACCCTTTCCCGGGGGTGGAGTTCATCCAGTCCGTCTCTTTGCAGTCTGACAGGAAACACAGGTGACATGACCAAATATCATCATCATCATCATCATTAAATTTATTCATAAAGCACATTTTAAAGTACCTGTGACGTGCCTATCATTCAAATACAAAAGGTCAAAGAAAATATCTTCATATTTAGGAAAATTGTCATAAAACACATGATTTAACACATTTTGTCACATAATTGGCATATTTTCCTTTGAATTTAGCTCAGCTAAAGTGAAACAGGAAGTGACATCAAAGGGGAACTCTTTAAGAAAGAAAACTCTCTGGTCTTTGTTTATTAAAACAATATTATTTAAACTCCATCTCTCTCTTATAGGGACTAAAATTATCTAAAGAAACATTAGAAGATTCCCTGCTGTCTGAGTTGTTAGCAATTATAGCAATGTTCTGTTTACATTCCCCTCTGACATCACTTCCTGTTACTTCACATGCAAACATCTCAACAACCGTTTGTCTTAGTGGTGTGAAATTGCTTTTGCAATATGTTATCTTTCCAAAAGTGCATTSATATTTATCACAAAAATTTGATGTGACTGGTACTTTAAAAACAAGTGCTGAACACAAACGGCAATAGAGTCAATATAAACAGCAAACAACATAATTTAAAGGTATAAGAAAGACAAAAACACAGAAGAACAAAATACAGGGAATAAATCAGAATCTAAAATCATTCCTGGATTCACAACTGACTGCTTGAAAAACAACTCAGGAGAGCCAAGATTTACTGGAAGGGTGCCAGCAGCASAACTAGGGCTAAACACAAAAACTTCTGTTTTCTTATCGTTAAAACTTTAAAAATCTGCAGCCATCCAACCCTTAATGTCATCAAGAGAGTGAATGGATAGAGCAAGCACTATTATCAGGTTTTAACAGCAGGTAGAGCTGACAAACATCAGCGTAACAAAGAAAACAGAAGTGGCCCAAGAATCAAGCCCTGCGGAACCCCACAGGAAAAAGGTGCTAAAGCAGAACAGAAAACCTCTGACACTCAGGTGGGAACGAAACCAATCCAGTGCTTCTCCTGTGATCCCTTTAAAGTCCTTTACAATGACTCGTTCGTGTGTGTGTGTGTGTGTGTGTGTGTGTGTGTACCAGCGTCTCCTTCCGAGTCGTTGCACTCGTCGTTGTCGTCCTCAGGTATGGGTCGTAGGCAGCTCTGATGGTCCCCTCCCCCGAAGGCGTGAGTCCTCCTCCGCCTCTGAACAGGAAGTGTCCCATCTGAACGTACAAAAACACGTGAGCTTAGACTCTTACTCTGAAGGAGTCCACGGCCACAGGGCACTTCCTGCTCACCTGAGGGTACCTCAGTGTCGACGCCGTTATCTTCYGCCACTTTTAGGAAAATCTACAAAACAGGAAACAGAAATGTTTTCCTCCATAAATTAGACCTGTGAATAAAAGTGTTCTCCGATGATGGTTCCAAACGTGCGGCACCTCCTCCAGWGTGGTGTCGGACACTCCGTAGCTGGAGATGCCGAGGTCGTGCAGCTTCACGTCCAGGTCTTTGAAGAGCTCCACGAAGGCGCCGTCTTTGGCGGCGCTGTACGGCAGGATGTAGGTCAGCTCGTGGCCCAGGTCCTCRACCAGGCGGGCGGCCGGGACGTGGCGCAGGATCAGCGCAGACACCAGGGTCGCGTCCGGCGGGACGAAGGGGCTGGTGCAGATGGACGCCGCGGGGCCGTTCTCTGAGGACGGAGACACGGAGGGGACACGGATCAGTCCCACGTCAGGGCGAACGAATCAAARGCTCCACAGAAACAGAGAGCTCACCGATGGTGGCTGCCTCACTTTCATGTTCGCTGCCAAGTCCTGCATCGCTGCTGCTGACCGAGGCGCCCTCCTCGTCCTGAAAGACAGCTGCGCATCAACAACACTCTGACCACTACTGCAGACRGTGACCAAGGTTAGAATAGTTTCAGATTTTTCATTGTTTAGTTTTGTTTAGTTTTATTTCTTTTAATTCAGTTAGTTTTAATTAGCTTTTACAGTGGATTTGCTAAATTTTAGTAGCTTTTAATGCTTAGTTTTAGTTTAGTTTTTATTAGTTATGGTATTAGTTTTTTTATAGTTTGAATAAACATATTTATCAATGTAACCTCCAGCTTGTGATGTTCCTGTGAGTTAAAGTTTAACTAGTTAATCACTAGTTAAATCAGTTCATTATAGCGACACCTTCCTAAAATAATTGTGTAASTTAATTTTTCCAACTAAAAGCTTCAGWGATTATTTCAGGACGATGACAACAGTTTGTCTCCAACCTGTTGTTTGTTTTTCATGGAGCTGCTGAGAGAAGCTAACGTGTCAGATAGTCACAGTTAGCATCTTGTGTGACTTTGATTCATGCAGTTTTTCTCTTCAGAAGTTTTCCACCTGTTTTATCACCTGTTTCCACTACAAAACACTTGGTTTGATTTTTCTCTGTCAGATTTAAATCACAAAGTGGACGTTGTTGTTGTTGTTGTTGTTTTCTCCCAACTTTTGTTGTCATCATTCAGCAGGTGATGCTGAGCAGCAGCAGACTGTAAACAAGTGTTGTTACAGATCATGAGGTGCTGTAAGATGACCACAGCTAATGTCAAACTACTTGATTTGACAATAAGTAAATAAATAAAATAAGATCCACATGGCTCCAGATAAATTGACAAACACTAAAACTAAGGATTTTTTTATCTATAATTTCAGTTAGTTTTAGTTAGTTATTGTTTTTTCATTTTATTCAGTTTTTATTTATTTTAAAATGCTTTTTCAGTTTCAGTTTTCATTATTTAGTTTTAGTTAATTATAATAAGCCCGCTGTGGACACAGTGAGAGTGGACCGGGGGGGTCTCAGACCTTCTTGGTGAAGGACACGGTGCTGGACGAGTTCCTGCAGGAGCTGAGCGACGGCTCCGGGTCCTTCTTCACCAGGGTCAGGTAGTAGCCCGTCCCCAGCTGGTTCTTCAGGTACAGAGACGAGCCCACGCAGCACAGCTTCCCGTGGGAGATGATGGCGATGCGGTCGCCCAGGATGTCCGCCTCGTCCATGTGGTGCGTGGACAGGATGATGGTCCGACCTGCCGGCACAGCGGAACGATAAACCTGACTGGAGACTACGAAGCAARGAGTCGGACCGACCCGGACCAGAAACTCACCCTGTCTGTACTTCAGCAGCATGTCCCAGATCCCTCTGCGGGCGTAGGGGTCCACGCCGGCGGTGGGCTCATCCAGAATCACCACCTTTGAGCCCCCGACGAAGGCCAGAGCCACGGACAGCTTCCTCTGCATGCCCCCCGACAGGGTGCTGGTCCTGGACTTGCGTTTGTGCGGCAGCCCCGTGTCCTGCAGAATGTGCTCGATGTCGCCTTTGACCTGTTCCTCCGACAGACCCTTCAGCCGAGCGTAGAACCAGATGTGCTCCTCTACGGTCAGCCTGCAAGGGGGCGGGGCCACACAGACAAGGTCACATGACCATCTGGGAGCAGGAAGGTGGGTGCGTACGGGGGACTCACATGCTGAAGAGGACGTTGTGCTGTGGACAGACCCCCAGACTCTGTCTGATGGCGCTCAGCTCTGTGCGGATGTCTTTACCCAGGATGTAGGCGGTGCCAGAGGTGGGCGGGAACAGGCCGGTCAGGATGGACCTGCAGGAATGAGACAGGTTAGAGCCCGGTACAGGTGAAGACAGGGACAGATTCAGGTCCTGGACTCACATTGTGGTGGTTTTTCCGGCTCCGTTGTGACCCAGGAAAGACGTGATTTGTCCCTCGTAGAATCCGAGCGTCAGTCCGTCCACTGCCAGCTTTTTACCGTGACGGTAGACCTTCACCAGGTTCTCGATGAAGACTCCTGGCTCCAGGTGAGCTGGCTCCTCCTCCACACACACAGCTGTGGACAGGTGCGGACAKCTTAGAGTCAAACTGAACGCTCTCTGGTTTGATGCAAAGATGGCAGTCCATCCTCACCTGAAGCATTTCCTTTCCGGTTCAGAGGGACTTTACTGGACCTCCCGTCATCTCCAAACCAGTAGGACTTGGTGAAGGGGAAGTACCAGGGTCGAGGGATCCCATACTGACCTGAAGGCAAACATCATAAAAACCAGATGGCACCATCATATGGGATAAATCTTGTGCCAGCAGGAAATGAATTTGAATTGCTCACATTGAATCTGAATGTGCAGAATTTGAAATTGAATATGTTGGTTTGAAAATGAATTTTACTAAACTGAAAATTAATTTAATGACTTAAAACTGAATTTGAAGTTTTGTATCTGAATTAATTTGCTTTGAAACTGTATTTTGGTTTATTAAAATTTTAGTTTGACTACTTTCATTTTCATAATTCAGATTTTTGTGTCACATCCTGGTCCTTGAGAAAGCCAGGAAGAGTAATCAAACACAGATCGACAGATTTATGTTTCACTTTGGTGACGTTTCCCTTCTGGATGTAACAGAGTTGATGCAATCCACTGTAAAAGTGACAAAAACACACAAAGTTATTTTATTGCA